CATGGATTTTCCAATGAGTTGATTAAAAATTTAAATATTTACTCGTAATTTTGTTATAAATTTTATTGTAAATAATACAATGCTTTTAACTTCAAAAGATTTTAATTTGGCCAAAGTATTCTGTGTTTATTTTTTCTTCTTCTTCTTTCCTTTTTTTGGAAAATTCCAGTTTAAAAAAAAAAAGAGCCGAAGAATAGTCATTGTGTTTATTCCAAATTAATAAAATAAATAAATTTTACATTTCTATCGAAGCGTAAAACTTTGGTCTGAAAATTAGCATACGGCGATTAAATTTTTCTCAATTCAATTTTCCTCCTCTTTTCAACTAAAACGTTAAATTCGTTGCCATCTATTTTAATAATTCTTAAATAAATATATCAATGATTAATTCCTTTACCTTTGTAAAATTCCTTAAAGTTAAAGTCGGCACTTTGATGGAAGTCATTCGATTTTTAAATAACTAACAAGTAAGACGTAATTTTTTAACACTAATTGTATGTAAATTGTGGTTGCTCTTCCCAATCTTTATCAAATCTAAAGATACTTCAAAGCGATACAATTTTCTTTGATGTGAGTCCTCTTCTATGGAGTTATAAAAAATGCAAATTAAATGATAATAAAATTAAACTGCTTTCAGATTTAGAATTATAGTTTCCGAGTTTGCCTTTGGCACCTGGAAGATCTCGAGCCTTTTGAAAATATATATATATATACGGCTCTGTCCGTCGCTTTAAACTTTACATTTTAATGTAGAAAGGAAAAAAAGCCACGTGACCGCAAAACCTTTTGAATTATTTTTATTACACATTCCCGGGAATCGTAATATTCTATTAAACGTGTATATAAATTTCTTCCTCGGGAGTTCTGCTTTGAAAAACCCCTGCCTATTAAATTCGAAAGTTTTAAAAGAGAAAAATCTAAATAAGGTTTTTCTCGTCACAAACATCTTTGCATAGTAGAGGACGAGGTAACTTTAGGTTCGCAACCTGCCATTTCTCGTCGGGTTTAAAGACTAACGAGGCTTTGCAAAGACAATTACGACTGCCACCAAGACTTTGTTGGAATCCATTCTTTAAAGGTTGAATAGCAGCTTCCCACTGCTTTTAAAATGATTCATTTGATGCAGATTTTTACGATTGATGCTGAGGAAAGACGTTTTTTGGTCAATCTCTGGAGATGAATAAGTCGATGGATCAGTCTTTCCGAATGACTGCTTTTTTCTTCGAAAAATAAATCATTTTATTACATTGTTTTCAAGCTTGAGAGAAACTTACTTTTTAGAAAATGTAATTTGATACTTTTGCACATTTCTAGCAGTTATTAAAAAAAAGAAGAATAGTCCATATATGAAATTTGATTTTTCTTACAAACATTACTTTTTATCTTCCTTAAATGGCTATATCCTGTACATAAATCGCCGTTTTTTTTTTAATTTTTAAAAAATATCAAAACTCTGAATAAAAATCTAATATTTACATATGATTTTTTAAACGCTTAAAATATATGCTATAAGAGATATTATAAAAACCGATATCATTGTAATATTTAATTAAAACTTAAATTCTTCATTAACTATATCAAGAACTCGTGTACAGTAGTTTGATTATTAATTATTGAATAAATAGATTGATCTATAAGATAAAGTACAATAAACTTCTTAAAATCCACAAGGGAAAAGATTGAATTTAATCATTTTTCAATTAAATCTTCCGTACGATTTTTCTGGCAATCGTTTCAAAATTTGTCATATTTATTTATAACTTCCATCATCTTAATGGAAGAATTTCAAAAATAAAATATAAAAAAAAATGTTATTGCTTTTTTCGTTTTCTAATATTAGAAATTAATTAAAATTATAAATGTGAACCCGGCACAAATCGATAAACTTTCAACGAAAAGAAAAATTTGGCGTTATCGTTATTATTATTTTTTCATTATAAATCAAGAAAGTAATTTAAAATCATTTTAAAAACTGAACTAAGCATTTTAAATGATATTTTATCACGCAGTAAATATATTTCGCAGGGGGAGAAATCATCATTTCATTGGCAAAGACGTTATTGTTTTATCATAATCCTAGCATTAATTACCTACCTATCAGTTGAAAATTTCAATCCAGTTAATATCTTTATTTTATTTTTAATTACTTTCACTCTGTTTTACAACGTTACGGGTTAATATCCCCGTGTGTCTGTCCTAGAATTAACTGACAAAACTTTTTTACACCGACTCCTCTTTTATAAAATTCCAACAACTTTGTTAAAAAGTGAAAAAAAATATATATGAAACGATCGGTTAATTAATTTTCGACTAAGTATAAAATTCGATATTAATTTAATAAAAATAAAAGCGGGGATAAAGTAAAAGATCCGAAGTATTTTCTACGCCAGACAAAAACCGATCAAAATTTATGCAAAAGAATCCTTTCGTGTTCAACATAATTATTTCTCCATTAACACTCTTTTGTGTTTAAGAGTAACATGTATTAATAGAGAATGTGTTAGTGTATAGTTAGTTCTCACGCATCTGCAGGATTCATTAAAGGTAGCACATTTATTTATTCTTTAATGGAATCCTCTACGGCCGGCCAAAGAAGCGCGTTTATTTAAAATAAATCGAGTAGGTGGCCGTAAATTGTCTCCATACGAAATTCCAGTTTTCGGGGGAAGGACCTTGCAGGACTCATTAGTTAAAATAGAGGTGACGAAAATTCGCTTTCTTTTCTGAAATTCCCAAACGGTGTAAGTATCACACGTCATCATTATTATAGTTGTCATTCAGATATTTATCGGTAGCGGTTGGGCGGAGGAGAGATAAGAGTCGCAGAAAACGACAATCAGATGGTCGTACTCTGTTATCAATGGATGTTCCAGCAACCTCCGTATCTAGAATGTGTAATTCCGAGTTGGAAACTTACTTTTCCAATAGAAAATTTGTCCGAAAATTTTTCTAATATATCAAAAAATGGTCAAAAGGGACCGTGGCTGTTTGCGAAAAATAAATTCGATCCGTTATAGTGGATCGTAATGTTTACTTTCGTCGGCAGATGGCATTTAGTTTTATTTAACCGGGAGATTCTGGAGTGGCGGAGTTTTCTACAATGCACCCAACGATAAAATACGATTCCGCAATGGATAAAGAAAACTCGGCCCCACGCAAAAATAAAGGCATAAAAATCTGCAGGAGTATATTTGTCAATTCTTTATTATGTATCGGATGCCGGAAACAGAATGAAACTGTAGCAAACGAGAGAAGATGTTAGGATTTAATGTCAGTTTAATATTAAATTCGCATAGATAAAGTGGAAAGAATATATTTGCGAGAGAACGACGGTGGCAAGAATACTTTCTATAATAAAGTATCGGAAAAGAAAATAACAAGAAATAACAGAATAATAAAAGCGATCCATACTCTATCTAGACAATTCGAGATATCAATTACCCATTTGCTTCCGAGGCAATCCAGTCAGATTCTTCGTCCCGTATCCCTTTTGATATTTAAATATTTATCGTAAGCATCGAATATCGACATATTCAAATGCGGCACGAATAATTTATCGTCTTACAACGTGCCATGACGTCATTCGGTATTCATCAATACTTGATCGCCGAGGGTATAAAAAAATATGCTTTCTACGAAAAGGGAATATAATTAATGGAAAGCTTCGCATAAATCTCGATGCTTCTTTCAAAATTCCCTCTATTAAATACATTTACTTCTTTTTTTCCCTTCTTCTTCTTCTTCTTCTCTTGCCGGTATTCTGGAATTCGAATCTTCTTTTAAAGCTAGTTGGGCGATGACTTCTGGACCAATTTATAAATTGATGAAGGGCTAATAAGGAAGGGTGGAGTCCAATTGATGGCGAGATCGTCAGAGAATGTCCCGCCCACATCAAATAATGCTGCAACTGATTTTTAGTCCGAAATCCCATTTCTTATTGGTGATTTGCAAAAATGGCATTTAGAGTATTGTTTGGTCTCTCGCTTAGGTTTATTATACGGTTCGTCGCGCCAACAATACCATTATTGTTTATTTAGCAAAATCTAAATAGATAGTCAATAGATGGCGACACGACAAATTTGTGTTAGGGATATCGATCTTTTTTTTTTCTGTTGCTTTATTTTCCTTCGCTTTTCTTAATAACTGTGGCAGTTTAATCGTCTAACGAAATGGAAAGAAACATTATAAATCTATCTAAAATTCAAATCTTTTAATTTTTAAAAATTTAAAACTTACGTGTAAATAGCTGATACACGAAATTAATATAGAATACACCCGAGACACGAAAAGTAATCGACTCCGCTATGTTTCATTTATAATTTATTAAAATCTCGAAGTTTTGTGACTCGCGTACACGATAAATTATTTCTTTAAATAGAATTGCCAAACAAAGAATTATGATAAAAGAAACTCCTCTTTTTATTGTTACACGTGGAGAAGTGATTTGTTCTGTCAACAGCAGATACCGACATTATAGCGAAACTAACGAGGATGTAGCATTGTCGCCGGCTTACTAATGACACTGTCATTTTTGACAGACGTCATGACCCACATTACACTTGTAACCCGTGCTGTGCCAAATTTATCTTTATTAACTTCTAACAAGGAAATTTATTAGCAATAATATTTTTCAATAATCGTTTACAGAATTACGAAAAAAAAAAAAATTATACGCAACCATTTGTCTGGGCACAGATGATGTCATTTGAAAAAAAAATATCAGCTACTATAACAGTGCAACAGATTATATATTTTTTTCAATTTTTTTTATTCTCTAATTAAAATTAGTCTCCAAAATCTGCTACTTTTTCTGCTTCTTTAATAGTACTTCAGGTCGAGGCCAAGTCTGTCGGGGTCGATTACAGTAGATTTATCGCCATTAGTGAGAGGATTAGTCTATTGGATTTCTAAAACAAAGATAATTTACTGTAACAGACACGCGATTATTTTTTCTTCTGTCCAATCAGACGATGAAAAGACATCAACGCCATCTGTCTTTGGGATGTTGGCGGCTATTGGTACTGCAGATGATACTCGAAAGTCATTGAATTGCAAAATCCGACGGATGATTGAATGGCACATTCGCATTATTCTGATTAATTTTATTGTGGAGGAAAATAGAAGAAGAAGGGGGGAAAAAATGAAATTATCATAATTGAGCTTGAACTTTAAAAGAGATGATAATATTTTAAGTATTTTTTTTTTCTCTCCTTAATATAATAGGTCTACATATTATTNTTGAAAAAAAAATATCAGCTACTATAACAGTGCAACAGATTATATATTTTTTTCAATTTTTTTTATTCTCTAATTAAAATTAGTCTCCAAAATCTGCTACTTTTTCTGCTTCTTTAATAGTACTTCAGGTCGAGGCCAAGTCTGTCGGGGTCGATTACAGTAGATTTATCGCCATTAGTGAGAGGATTAGTCTATTGGATTTCTAAAACAAAGATAATTTACTGTAACAGACACGCGATTATTTTTTCTTCTGTCCAATCAGACGATGAAAAGACATCAACGCCATCTGTCTTTGGGATGTTGGCGGCTATTGGTACTGCAGATGATACTCGAAAGTCATTGAATTGCAAAATCCGACGGATGATTGAATGGCACATTCGCATTATTCTGATTAATTTTATTGTGGAGGAAAATAGAAGAAGAAGGGGGGAAAAAATGAAATTATCATAATTGAGCTTGAACTTTAAAAGAGATGATAATATTTTAAGTATTTTTTTTTTCTCTCCTTAATATAATAGGTCTACATATTATTATTATTTTTTTTTGAATTCGTGTGTAGAAAAAAAAATGAAAAGGTTTTTAGTTATCAACGTCTGTCTTCAAGTGTTGACATCTGCCGCGGATAGTGTTTTAAATGACACTCTTAATTCGGTTATTTCGTTTTTCTGTTTCTTGTAAACAATCCAGTCGGTTTCTTTCTTCACTTTATTCCTCTTTCGTCCGTTCTCTGACGAAAAATCGAATATCCGAAAGGGCAATCCGTACGTAAATTACAAGCATCCATCATTCTACTAGTTCGATATTAATCGGGATATGAAGGAAACAGACCTTTTGTTAGCGACGGCAGAACCTTTAAAAAAGAAGAATTTTGTTTAGGAATGCATTACAATGTCCAAATTATTCTCGTGTTTCAATATTAAAATAGTTTTCGATAAGGCAATCTCGATCGCTGATTTATTGTAAACTTGTCTAATATTACATATACGTACGCTAAACACGACGAGATAAACGGGAACGGAAAAAAAGGGGGAAAAAAAAAATTCAAACTAGTTAAAAATCTTGTCTCGTTTATTATTGAACTGATTTAATCGCGTTTTGTTATATTTTTTTCCGATTTAAAATAATTTAAAAAGTTTACGTGACGAGTAATCGTAAAGGATAGTTCATTTGCCGATTGGGATACACGCGTTGAATAAAATGATATTCTATCCGGATCTTTATTACGTAAGTATAGAGGAGAACATACGCCTTCTCCGATATCTGGAGATAGTAAAACATCCCGAAAATATCCTTCTCAAATATTTAGAAACTTGGTGAATTCCAAGTGCATTAAATAGATCGATACGACTAGCAAAAATATCCGAGAAGGGTGGTTCGGGATCGGCATTTTAAATCCCCAAAGCGTATTCGTTTTTATTATTTTTTCGATATCGTTTCGAAATTTTTATCATAATTAACATTCTGTCTGTTTATTAAAATCCAGAGGTATTTATAATTTAAAATTGAAATAAGAATTTTTTCCCCTTTTTTTTATGGGAGGAACTGTTCATATTTTTGAAATCAATTTAAATGTCAAGTACAGATATTCTTTTATAATTCCGGTATTTTTTTTCCTCCGTTTAAACATTTTTTTTAATTTTTTTATTGCAATGTAAGCGGCGTATCGTTAACGTAAAATAAATTGTAATTAATCGTCACTTTGGTCGTCGTGACGTCAACCAGATAGAATTTTAAATAATCGCGTATTCGACAATGTAAGGTAGAGAACAATTATGAATTTGGTTTTGATTTTACGAAATTTATTTTTGAAATATTGCACTAATTAGCAATCATACAATACACTGTCGGATGTTTATTGTAAAGTATTCATCGATTGCGGAAATGAATCATTAATTACGTATTTCGACGCTAATTAGTACTAAGTATTCTTAAAAGTTTTAGGATTTAATCGCGAGTTTTCTAGTTAATTTAGAAACTATTGCAATTTAAAACAATTTTAATATCGGATTCCGACAGCAGATGGCGCTAGATTGATTATTGAAATCGAAGAATATATTTATAATTAAGTCGACAAAAGTATTCCACCGAGTGGCGAATAAATGGAATTGTCGTTTCGAAATTTACGTAACAGATCACGCATACCATTACGCCGGAGCGGAAACGATAAATTAGAACCGGCCGTGACGTCAGAGATGAGCCGGTACAACCAACCGAATTTATCAAAAATATAATAATATTACGTTGTTAAGGAAATAAATCTATCTCTCATCACCCAGTAGGAATTTAATCTGTCCCGCTTCATAATATAGTGTTGTCTGGAGAATCCGGGTTCGATTACTCAAGTTAAGAGATCGAAACGCGCAAGATCGATCAACCGAAAATAAGTAATTGCAGGCTCTACACGACAATCTTTCGTTTCTTAGAATTTATAAATATTCAAATAAAACTTCATTTTTTTAAATAATTTCTTATTTTATTTTACGATATTAAGAGTTTAGATGGCAAAAAATTGTCGGATAGAATTTTTTTTTCTTGTTGTCGTGGTTATTATTAACTCTTGAAACGGAAATACCTCGGAGGACTTACAAAATGGAACCCGTGGGAAGAATCGCTGTATATACACTCATTTACTATGAGCAAAGAAGCTCGTAACATCCCAAAAGTGATTTTAAATGATAAACTGATATTTCGGGATCGCGTACCATTGGACGGCTAGATTTTTTTATTTCAGTATTTTTGAATAAAATAAGATTCTCTATCATTGTGTATGATAAACTTACATTCTATTGCTGATTTGTATGTGATTCAATCCGTTTCGGGATTTTCTATTTATACAATTTACTTCTTTAGATTACAAAATTTTTTGGCTTTTAAAATATGTTCTTTGAGGATAAATTTAAAAAAAGTCACTTACACATATTTAACTCGATCGTTTGATAGTCAAAATAATGCTGTATTACTTTCGAAAAATATCTTGAAAAATCATAAATTTGGTTGATTTACTTAAAAAAAAAAAAAAAAAAAAAAAAACTCGTAAACTCTTGCTAATCCGGTGCTTAATAATCAAGAATCCCCCATTATGTGTGTCTCTTATGTTTTTTTAAATATATATATTAAGCTTGTAACATTGCATTTATCAATAAGAAAGAAATTTATAATTATTGTACATAATTTCACAATAACAAAAATAAAGCTCCAAAAATATCAGTACCGAAGAGCGTCAGGCACGTCAGTCAAGACTCTCAATAATCCACACTCTCGCTAATCCGTGCAAGGAATGGCCGGATTAGCGAGTTTAGTGTAATTGGAAAGTTCATTCCAAATATTGACTAGAAATGTTTTAACCGAATAAATTTTTAACAGAAATGTTTGAATTACGTCTGCATTTGATTCGGTTTATTACGAGAATTTCCGATTGTTGGATATCTTTTATGATTCGATCGAATCTTATAATCGATAACGTGATATTTAATCGAGCAGAACGTAACACATTTTCAATCAATTCAAAAACAACTTAAAAATGAAAATAATCTATTTTCATAATCTTTCTCGTGGTTAAAATAATTATAGATTGCATCATTTTGTCCTGAATGAAATAATAGACAAAAATGATGCAACTCAGACTTGAAAATTTGTAAATTAATATCGAATTTGTAGAGTCTATCTGTTCGTTCTCATATTAAGTCCTCAGTAAACACACGTATATAAGCATATCTACAACAGAATGAATATTTTTCGTCGTAGAAAAGTATATCGTTGGTTATTTATTATTAACCAATGATATACTTTTCTAAAACAACCTTAAAAATCATCCTGCGTTATTCTAAATGTCAGCATTAAATATTTATCTTGGGTATCCATTAAACGATATTTAGACAGAAATAAAATAAAAAGGAAGTCA